CCCTCTGCATGGATGGTGCCTGCAGCCCCCTCCCGGGTGCATTCATTCATGTGAGCGCTCATTGTGCCCTCTGCATGGATGGTGCCTGCAGCCCCTCCCGGGTGCATTCATTCACCTGAGAGCTTAGGGTGCCCTCTGCATGGATGGTGCCTGCAGCCCCTCTTGGTTGCATTAATTCATGTGAGAACACATGGTTCACCGGGTCTGAGTGCAGAAGTGAGTCAGGCACAGCCTCGTTGTCAGAGAACTCCAGCTGCAGCGGGAGATGAGTCGGGTGGTTTTCTGCTGGAAGCGCAGAGGGAGCCATGATGGAGAGAGGTGCACAGGCTGTTGTGGGACGTGACTTGAGAGGGGAGGGGGCGGGCCTTTGAGAAAGGCTCTTATTGGGAAGATGAGTCGAGGTTGGGCCTGGTGCCCATAAGGACGCCCAGTAGGGAGGGCATGGTGGATGGGGAGGTAAAGGGGTGAGGGACGAAGCTGGACAGGCAATGGGATGGGGGTCACATGGAGGAAGCCCTCCCGTTATTATGACCCTGTGCGTGTCTTCCCAATCTCTCAGCCTTTCTGTTTATCATCACTATGCCTTAGTACCTCTACCAGTAAAGACGACCCAGAAAGTTATTCTAAATGTTTGTTTTAGACCAGCATTCTATCATTATACATTGTTACACTTAATATGTCCAGTGACCATAATGCACAGTGAGCTTTTTCTGTTGATGACTCTCTTCAATGAAGGTGTTTCTTCTTCTCTTCCATGTTTATCGTAGCTGAAATAGTGAACAGGGCACCAAAATCGCTCATCTCCTTGGCTCCTGGATTTCCAAATCCGAACACTTTCCCTTTTAAGACGGCCAGTATCACCATAAAAAATGGAAAGACCATCCAATTTGGAGAAGAGATGATGAAGAGAGCGCTTCAGTATTCTCCAAGTGCTGGGTAGTTATCAAGAGATGTTCTACTTTTGTTGGATTATTTTCTTGAGCAGTGTACTAAGGCCCACTGATAGAGTGACTTGAGTCTTTTAATGGTGTTCAGCATTTAGAGAGGTTTGCAAAGAGCTCCCCAAAAATAAAAGAGCAACAGGGACATTTGATGCTGTTTGTCACACGCCTCAGTGGCTGCTTTTCTAGAAGGCAGTGCTGTTAAAAAATGAGAGGACTCCCCGTAAAACCAAATGAGACTAACGAGGTACAAGAGTCCTGTGACAAGGGCCAAAAGGCAGAAGGGAACAAGGAAGCTGGTGATAGGGAAGCCAAGGTTGAGTAAGGATAGTGTTGATGTGTTGTGAGATTGTTAACCATTGTCATAGGGCAACATGTGTAGTAACTGTTAAATGAGAAACTATTTTGTTCTGCAAGCCTTCATCTTAAGTAAGAATAACAGCACAATTGGAAGAGCGTAGTCAATGTCACTGGACTGTGCATGTAGAAATTTTTGAAACGGTCTATCTTTGGCTGTGTGTATTTTCACCAAAAAACAAAGGTTGAGAAGTTAGAGGGTTAATATGTTGTGGGGTTGTAAACCAATGTCATAAAACAACATGTGTACTACTGTTTCATGAGAAACTAATTGTTCTGTAAGCCTTCACCTGAAGTACAATAAAAGATAAATAAATAAATAAAAAATAAAAAATAAATGAGAAGACGGTTGGCGAGGAGACAGGTCGGGAGAAGGGAGGAGAAGGATGACGCAGGAAGTGGCGGCAGCAATTTTAAGTCCAGAGACAATTTTCCAATAATTATTTACCCTTTCTAAACAGACAGCTATGTGAATACGTTGTGCTCATGGGTTAAAATGTCTTTCTTCTAGTGAGAAAGGATATTTTATGGAGTGTCTATAAATTATACTTTATTAAAGCCTTTGTTCTGCAGTGGAAAAATATAGTGAAAGACTATGTATATGTATATATAGTAGTTTTATGTAAAATATGCATAAGGCTTTTCTCTGAGTGATACAAAGAACATTTTGAGCCTGAACTTCTTAGCTAGGCTATGAAAATTTTTCGGTGGAGAGCAAAGAATTGATTATCCGATTAATGAATGGTGTAGTGAAAAAGAAACAGTGCAGGCTTTGGAATAAGAAAGCTCTAGATTCAAATCCCAGCTCATTCGGTCACTGGCTGAATGACTTCAGTAAATTTCTTTTATTTTTTTAAATTTTTTTTATTGTACTTTAGATCAAGGTTTACAGAACATATAGTTTCTCATTAAACAGTCAGTACACATATTGTTTTATGACATTGGCTAACAACCCCCCGACATGTCAACCCTCTCCCTTGTCGACCTTGAGGACCTTTTTTTTTTGGAGAAAATATACATAGCCAAAGTTACACCATTTTGAAAGTTTCTACATGTACAATTCAGTGACATCAATTACATTCTTCCAGTTGTGCTGCTATTCGCACTATCCTTTTCCAAATTATTCTATCACCATTATCTTCAACTCACTGCCCCCTAGGCTTCCCATCAAACCTTTGGAGTTGCTGTTGACAATTTGATCTCACATAGATAATTCTTTTTTTGTACCTTAGGCATAGGTTTGCAGAACAAATAGTTTCTCATTAAACAGTTAGTACACATATTGCCCTATGACAGTGGTTAACAACCCTATGACATGTCAAC